GAGCCTCCTATCCGAGGTCGTGGTGCCTCTGGCGGCCGCCACTGGCCACTGTGAGCCACGGAGGCTGCCCCTCTCACCTGAGCCTTGGGGAAGAGATGCTCTTTGTCCAGCTGGGCTGCAATGGGGACCAGCTCCTTCTCAGCAAAGTCACGGCATGTCTGGCGCAACATCTGATGTGTCTCAGGCAGTTCTACAGACTGGTAAACCGTATGTAACCTTCGCCAGTCCCGAACATGGAGAGCTATCAGAAAAGGCTCCGAGTTAGGGAATGACATCATGAAAGAGCTTAAGACTCATTTATTTCTTTAAGAAGAGGGCGTCAGATCCCCTGGACCTGAAGTTCTAGGGGATTGTGAGCTGCCCAACATGGAGGCTGGGATCTGAACTCAGGTTTTCTGTAAGAACAACAAACACTGAGTTAGAGGACAATTTGAGCCTCGAGTTCAAGCTAGTCTACAAGTTCAGGCTAGCCTACGAAATATGTCAAGGCTTCATTCATCCCGGGGTCTGGAGTGATGGCTCAGCACTTAAGAGCACTTGCTGCTCTTTCAGAGGAACTAGGTACAGTTCCCACCATCAACAGGGTGGCTTACAATTGTTTGTAACTAAAGTTTCAGGGGCTCCAACACACTCTTCTGGCCTCTGTGCAGGCACACATCCAGGCAAAACACTCATACACGTAAAATAAAAGTAAACTTTTAAGAAAAAAAAAATAGATGGGCAGTGGTGGCGCACGCCTTTAATCCCAGCACTTGGAAGGCAGAGGCAGGCGGATTTCTGAGTTCAAGGCCAGCCTGGTCTACAGAGTGAGTTCCAGGACAGCCAGGGCTACACAGAGAAACCCTGTCTCGAAAAACCAAAAAAAAAAAAGAGCACCTCTCCCTGCCCCCAACTCAGGTCTCAAAGGGAAAAAAATAACTTTATTGATACAATGTCAACAGGGCTGTTACAAAAAAGCCCAGGCTAACTGAATGCTTAACTGTTCGCTAAACACTCCAATCCTCAATATAATCCCGTTTACAACACCTCGGAAATGGGTTTTAAGTTGCACTGGGTCTGGAGTTCTATAAATGTGGACAAGAAACAGCCCTCAGGTCCCGGGAGTGGAAGGATTAAAGAAGTATTAATGGCTGATTTAACACTGTCCTATTTGTTAATGTGGACCTGGGTTCGCCAAAGGAAGCGTTGGCCATAGTGTCAGGGCTGCTCAGACGAGACAAAACGCTATTAAAAATAACTGCGCGCATTATGGAAACACGCGTTAGAGGCCAACCACTCTGCATCCTGTGATTTTAATACAGCTCTGAGGATGGAAACAGTTCACACTTGGACCACTTGATGCAGAGAGGTTGAGCGTCACTTCCAAGGTCACAGGTCGGAGTTCAATGCCAGGGCCCCCGCCATGGAGGATCAACTCACCCAGAACCTCAACCGGGGCTGAAATGGGGTTAGGGGTGTGGATGGGGTCGTGAAAAGGAGAGCTGGCGATGAGGGTCCCACAGGAAGGGAGCCGAGCAGGAGCCCGGATTCCTGCAGAGCCTGGGCCTTACACTGGCCAGAGGCTACTCAACTAGGGCAAAGGCCGCGCGCAGCCGCTCGTCGCCCGGGGCCTCAGCAGGACCCGCGGCCGGGATCTCCGCCCTGTGACCGGCCCTGTGGCTCCGGGCGCGCACTCACCTCTGCAGACGGGGCCACCGGCCCGGGAGAGCAACGCGGCGGCCATGGGCACTGATCTCCGGGACCTCCTGCAGCAGCTCTGGAGTTCCGGACGGCAGGGGCAGGGCCTGGGCCACGCCCACTCGGCTGCAGGGGCGGGGCCGACGAAGTGCATGTGCCACGCCCACCGCCCTGAGAGGAGGGGCAGGGCCCCCAGCCTAAGCCACGCCCATCTGGCCGCAGGGGCGGGGCCTGAGACAGGCTAGCGAGCTAGGGTCGTGGCCGCTCGCGTTCGCAGGAAGTTAACTTCTGCGGATCCGGAGACTGCGGAGTTTGTCCGCTCGCTCCTTCTCCTGCCTTCGTCTCTAGCGAGGCTGCTGACAACGCAGAGGCGTGAAAATAAAAGGAAACAAGCAGTCGTCCTCGGTTTAAAATCCTCGGTCCGCGAACGAACACACGCGCGCACACACACACAGAGTCCAAACCTGTAATTCTAGCGACTCCTGAGCCTGAGGCAGGAGGATTGCAGGTTCAAAGTCTCCCTGTATTGCAGAGTAAGTTCAAGGCCAGCTTGGGCAACCTCGCGGTATCTTACTTCAAAATAAAAGTTTAAAGAGGACGTGGGGAGTATAGCTCAGCCGTAGAGCCCCTGCCTAGCAGACATAAGGCACTGGGTTCAGTTTTAGGGAGAGAAGAAAAGACCTAGTACCTTCGCCTGCCCACCCACTTCTGCATGGTGACAGCGTAATCCCTGGCTCCCTGACCATCTTTGTTCGGACCACACAAGGCAGGCAGCTTTGGTCCTTGCCTGGACGTCCCGCTACCATTCCTAGCCCATAGGTTTTTACATCCAGCCTTTTATTTACACTTCACCCAGGATTTTTTTTTTTTTTTTGTTTTTTTGAGACAGGGTCTCTCTGTGTAGCCCTGGCTGTCCTGGAACTCACTCTGTAGACCAGGCTGGCCTCGAACTCAGAAATCCACCTGCCTCTGCCTCCCAAGTGCTGGGATTAAAGGCGTGCGCCACCACTGCCTGGCCAGGATTTTTTTTTTTTCACCATTCATCTCTCCTACTAGTCTGGATTCAAAAAGGGCTGGAGGGCTCAGTATTTAGGGAAATACTAAATATCCCTGTCCTAAGAGGTGAAAGTGAAAGAGATACTGTCTCAGCACCTCTTAGTGGAGGCGCAGAGCCCTGCTGGGAGTAGGGGTTCTGCCCACTAACGCCAAGGGTTGAGTCCTAGCACTCTCAGCGCTCTGTCCCAGGGACTGTCTGCGTCATTGGCTCACAGGGTCTGCCCTTCGTGCCCTCCTGGTTTACATGGGTCCCACTGACCTGTGCGCTGAAAGTCTCACAGCCGCCACTGCCTAGAAAACAATAAACTGAGGCAAAGGTGTGACAGTTTAGACTGTAAATGTTCTCATTCATCCTTTCCTCCCAGACCCCCAAAGTCTGGAACTGCCTTAAAGAAAAAAAAAAAAAAAGGCTTTCAGATAATGTGTTAAATGACTCATTGCCCAGTACTGTGTGGTCATCCGGCCATCTTCCTGGTCTCCAGAACTGGATGGAAGAGGAAAGAGAGACACTGGAGCCTGAGAGGCGGTGTAGTGGGTAAATCGCTTTACATGCTGGCGTGACCTGAGTCTGGAACCCCAGAATCCATTTGCAGCGCTGCATCGGATGGGGAGTGCAAAGACAGGAGGATTCTGGGAGCTCACTGACATCCACTCTAAAGGAATCAGTGAGTTCCCGGTTCAGTAAGAAAAACCTGTTTCAAAAAATTAGACACCAGCCAGGGTGTGATGGTGCATGCCTTTAATCCCAGACCTGGAAGTAGATGCGACTGGATTTCTGAGTTTGAGTCCAGCCTGGTCTACAGAGTGAGTTTGGAGACAGCCAAGGCTACACAGAGAAACCCTGTCTCGAAAAAGCAAAACAAAACAAAAAACAATAGATGGCCAGGCTAGGTGGCTCACAGGGCCTGGCTGGCCTGGAACTTGCCATTAAAGACTAGACAAGCCTTGAACTCATAGAGATCAGATTGCCTTTGCCTCTTCAGTGAGGGGATTACAGGCAGGTGCCACCACTGAAACTCATATTTTTGAAGTGTTCAAAAATAAAAAGGGAGGAAATAAATTATGGGCCTGCAAGGTGGCTTAGTGAGCAAAAACACTTGCTGCCAAGTCTGATGACCTGAGTTCTATCCCCAGAACCTGCCTGGGGCCTTCTGTAGCCTCTGACATGGTGGCCTGAGATATTAAGAAAGAATCCTTAGAGGAGGTGGTCAGAGTAGTGTCTAAGCTCTGACTGACTGACAGACAATCAGGTTGCCTCTTTATTTGAACAGGTTTCACAGAACAAAGACCGACTAATAATTACCCAACAAGTATAGATTATGTGTTTGACTTTTTTCATTACATGTCCAGGGTTACAAGTTCAGTCACAATTAGAAAGTACAAACAGAAGGGGCTGGAGAGATGGCTCAGCGGTTAAGAGCATTGACTACTCTTCCAGAGGTCCTGAGTTCAATTCCCAACAACCACATGATGGCTCACAACTGTCCGTAATGGGATCTGATGCCCTCTTCTGCTGTATGTCTGAAGACAGCGACAGTGTACTCACATAAATAAAATAAATCTTTAAAAAAAAAATAAAAGAATAGATATCTGCCCAGTTTAGGCCTGCAGCTTATTAATAAAAACACCAGGTGTGTCTTTATTGGGGAGCTAACACGGGCTAGCCTAGGCATAGGAATGTCCTGCAGTTATTCAGAAGCTGAGGAGGTGAAAGAACTCCCCACCCTCCCACAAGAATTACAATTACAAGGCACCACTGCTGCCTGGCTTGTTTTTGTTTTTGTGAAACAAACTCTCACTATGTGGCCTTGGCTATCTATCCTAGAATAGTAAACCAGGCTGGCTTCAGAGACTGGCCTGCCTCTGCCTCCCAAGCACTAAAGTAAAGGCATGTTGACATCATGCTCAGCTCAGAAATGTACCAAGAAGTGAGGTCATTGTGTTATCGCACACACTGGTAAGCCTGCCTGTAAGGCTGAGGCAGTGGCATATATGCTGCTGGGAACAGAACCCAGGTCCACGGGAAGAGCCGGCAGTGCTCTTACAGAGCCCTCCCTCCCTCCATCCCATAAATGTTTAACTCGAAGTCCCCGAGTAAAACCTACAACAGAAAAACCTTAAAAAGAAACTGGTGACTCTCAATTCTATTCCCCAATTAGAAACCAGTGACACCCAAGTCAACAAAAATGCAACAGCCGAGCAAAGGGACTGGGACCTCCCCCCCCCCCCAGCCCCCAAAGGCCCAATCAGGAAGCAAGACAGAGGGAGCATATTGTGAAAAATCTTTATTACTGTCTCTTGTGGTAAAATAATATCTCATACAAATAGAATCACCTGATTTGTTTTGGAATGAGGATTTTAAGGACAGAGATGTTTCTTATATTCTGTGAAAAATAGATTTACAGGGAAAATAGACTTTCACAACTCAGTGACATCACCACATGATCCTTTAGGAAACAAAGGTGAGCCCACCTCCTCCAGACTTCCTGTGGCTATGATGCTCTGGACACGGAATGTGGCTATCTGCAGAATCTGAGTCTATGGCCCATCCCAGACGTGACAACCTGCTGCCCCTCGGAACTGGCACTCCGATGCCCAGAGCTGGAGAAGCTTCGGAAGGCTGAGACAGCACTGAGCTAATCTGACAACAGCTGGTGTCAGCCCAGTCACTGGCCGTCTTCCCTCCGACATTTATGGTTTAGAAGGGCGGCTCAGCCTCAAGGCATGGGGCCAGGATGGAGATCATGCAGAACCCACCTCACACCAGGAAGGGCTCTGCCCAATGGGGACCAGGTCCCCGGGGCTGCCACCTGCTCAGATTACTGATCTGGGCATGGGGCACACAGACCTCCAGCACTAATTCTCTCTTTCAGTGAATCACAGGAAGCCACTGTCGCCAATGGTGTTCCTGGACAGTCTAACTTCTGACGCGGCTTCTGCTGGTTCAGTTATTTACAAAGTATGATTTCCAGTTTACTCAAGTCAGGCACGAAAGCTGGAATTTCCCTAAGCAGCCAGACATGGACCACTGGCCTTTCAGAAGCTAAAGAAGACTGTTCCATCCCACCAGTATGCGGGCACCCGGCCTCAGTGGGCTCTCACTGAGAACAGGCTGGTGGGAACGGGATCCAGCCCTTCTCAAGCCAGCGTGCCGGCTCCTCCATTCTCCCGGGCTCTCCAAGCAAAAGCAGGAAACAGTACAGCCCAGGCTGTGCTCCACTGAGCAAAGGCCACGTAGCTCCAGGAAGCACATCCTCAGTAATATTTACCTAAATATTGGGTACCAAAATCCATCCTCAGACTATGTAAGAGAGCAAAGACTAGGAAGCTTGTCAAGAACATGGAACTCTCATGAGAGGAGCCCCATGAGAAAATGCAGAGACTGCTCACGTCTGTCTGCAGGGGAGGGAAAACAACGGCCCCGCAGCTCCCAGCAGCACATGGGGCCGAGGCACACCTAAGGCACCTGGATTTGGAGTGGACCCCAGGTCTGAGATCCGCCGGAATGGTCAGGAGGTGCCCACTAGAGGGCACCTGGGCTCCCCTAGCTCAGCGGGTAAATCCCGTGCAGCAGGAAGAATAATCTAGGTGCTGGCCAGATTTAGAGCATGGGTCCAAACCCAAGGCCACTAATGCTCTAGAAGCCGACAGAGCGACACTGACCAAAGTATGTCCTTTCTCTCAAGTACTCTGGGGCCCTGGTCTCAGGTCTCACCTGTCACAGGTGGCATTGCAGGTGAGGCGGTGCCTCAGGGACGTCTTACGCACACCTGCCCTTCATTCAGTGCCAAACAGACCCCAGCCACAGAGTCCTTGAGCCGCCCGCAGGGACACCCAGCCACAGAGTCCTCGAGCTGCCTACAGGGACAACCTAGGGAGCCAGAGGAGCAGGAGTCAGTCAGTGGGGATCTGAGGACGCGTGAGGCCCACAAGTGCAGCACTCTGACGGGCAACCTCAGCCTATGCTGCCCTTCCCAAACACTCACACATGCAGCAGTTTGAAGGCAGAATCAGAACACGCATTCCTCAGACCATGTGGCAGAAGGTTCTAGGAATGACTTTAGCAGAAAGGTAAACAGATGGGAGGACATTCCTAACCGTGAGACTCTGCTCTCGAGCCAAATCCCTGCCCAGAGCCTCTCTTCCAGGCTCACTGTACACAGTGAGCTCTCTCTAAAGCCCCAGCTGTGCCTCCCCGACATCAGCCCGGGAGCCAGTCCACCGGTCCTCTTAGAGATCTATCGGCATCCTGGGCACTAAACACTGACATCGTAAAGATCCCCCCAAAGACATCTGAGAGTAAGGAGCGCAAAGCACAACCAGCCAGCACTGAACTCGAGAGACGCCATGAACTGTGAACCACACTGACAAGGGCCACAGCAGGACATGTTAAAAAGTCACGGCCAGAGGAACAGAGCAAGAACAGAAGGCACCATCAGGCTGACACTGGTCTCCTCTAAGCCTGGCTGTGGCTTCTCAAAGGCAGGTAAGAAGCCTCCTCAGAAGCTTGTCTGTGACTCTGGTGCCACCTCCCAGTGCCTTAGCCCGGGCTCTGACCTGCCCAGGTCTCTCTTCAAGTTTCTTCCAGTTTGCCTAACTGCATAGGCAAGGACAGACTGTGCCAACCAACGACATGGGACGAGGGAGAAGAGAGCTGCTCCCAGCTCAGCTCAAGCCTTCTGACTCAGGATAAGCAGTGCACAGCTAAGACTACACACAAATAAGCTTTTATCTGGACCCCCCGGGAAGGGAACCTTACCCTAACCTTTTACTTCTCTATCACACCTCTGTGAACTAGGGGCAGGGAACAAACACTGGGAAGAGAAACTGCTGGCTGACACCTCCTTGGAGCACAGAACATGGCCGCCCAGCTGCAGCTTCCTGGACCAGGGTCAAGGTGGGTGCTGACCGCAGCAGCTGCAGTTCCCGCTGTGTGCCTCGTGGTGGCAGCAGAGCGCCTCCCGTCCGCCGCTCTGCTGCTGCGGTTACCGGTTATCGGTTACTGGCCTCCGTTGTAGGCATAATCCGCCTTGTTATGCATGATCAGTTTGTTGTCGACAAAGTAGAAGCTGTCGGAGCGCGTCTCGTAGGGGTTCTCAATCATCAGGCGGACTGCAGGGGAGAGCACACCATGTGAGTCTGCCCACGGCTGGGCACAAGAAACTCAGCGGCGCTTTGTAAAGTTTGAGTCTGCTCTGCCCAGACAACAAGGGCAGAACAGAAGAAGCCAGGGAGACCGGACAGCTCCAGATGGACTGTGACGTCCAGTTCTATACGAGGATGCAATCAACTGATCTCTGTGCTGGTATCCTAGGAGACAAACCTCTCCCCATTCACAGCCACTTCCTTGCCCCACGCTCCTGGCTAGCCCAGCGAGTGAGCCCTGGCTTCTGGCCTGCTGCCACCTCTGGACATTCCAGTAAAAACCAGAGCAGCATGCCCCTCTGTACCCACTTCTGTGGGTTGTCTTGTTTGTGGAGAAAGGATCTCACTGGACCACTCTAGCTGGCTTTGAATTCACAGAGATTTGTCTGCCTCTGCTTCCCAAGGGTTGAAGAGGGACACCACCATAACCAACTCACTTGGTTTTTTGTTTTTTTAATTAAAAAAAAAAAATCACTTCTGTGTACAGGTTTCTTTGCCTGCCTATAGACACCGGTGTAGCGCGTGTGTGCTGCACTCTCAGAGGCCCGGAAGCGCAGTGACAGCCCTGTGAGGAGCCACGGCATATGCACTGGAAATGGAACCCAGGTCGTCTGGGAGAACCATGCTCTTCCTCACGTCTCCATCCTCCTACTGCTCCATCCAAGGGCCTGCACCCAAAAGAACCCCAGGTACCAGTCAGAGGAACAGAGGGGAAGCTGCTCTCTAGAGAGGGCTCTGGTGTTCACCTGCAGATCCAGACAGAGGCCCTTTGCCTGTCTGTCTGTCTAAGCCCTCTCCTTGAGCTCTTTCACAATGGAAGAAGGTAAATACAATGACAGTTGCCTCCCCTTGGTTCTGATTTAAGAACCACGTTCCATCTCCCATCCCCGGGGAAAGGCATCCCAGGTGTCAAAGTGTGGCAATGTGACGTTCTCTGAGCTCAGCCAGGCCACAGCAATTGGGTTTACACTCAGACTCAACTCCACACCCTTTGCACAGTTTGGTTTCACCAGATGATCTAATCTTGCAAGTATCTGCAAATCCAGGTGAGCTCAAAACCAGACTGAGATACTGTGAGGAAGCCCTGCCCGCTCACAGGTTTTCCACCTGGGTCTGGTTGTCATGAGCGTGGAGCGCCCATTCCAGAGTGTGCAATTGCTAGGGACGAGATTTAGGGAACACAGGTCAGGGTCAGAACGTGTCCGCCCGGAAGTAAGCAGGATGCAGTGGAGCTCTGAGCACCAGTGACAGGCCTTACCGACGAGGCCTGGGGTGCTGACTCCAGGGGGGTGCTCACTAACTTCTCCTTAGTTCGCAGAGGCAGAGTCTGAGGTCACATGGCCTGACACACAGCGAGCCACACTTGTGTCTTGTGCAGAATGGGGCCACTGGACCAGGTGGGTGGTGGGAAGGTAGGTGAGAGGGAGGGAGGGCGGGGTACGTACTGACGTCCTCGGAGAGCTGTGGGAACTCATAGATGTGCTCACACGTGTTTCTGCTGCTAGGGATGCAGAAGCCGAAATCGAAGTCAAAGGTCTTCAGCAGCCGCTCCCGGAAGTAGTGCCGTTCAATCATTCTGAAACCTGTCACCGGCCTGTCACCCACGGTGAACTCTACCCTGTAGGAGAATCTCTGTGAGACTTACTTCATTTCCTCCTCAGTCCTCCACAGCCAGCCTCAGCCCCACAGAGCACATTCTTCCCTGAGCAAGTGGAATGTGCTGCCCTCAGAAAAATCATAGCACTCACGTGGCACCGACGGTCCGGAGGCGGAGGAACGCCGGTGTGAACTGATAGCGAACGAATCGGCCCACGCTGATATCCACGTCGACACTCTCCTCCTCTGCGTCCTGGTCTGAAAGAACACAGAGCAGAGCTGTGAGCACACACGCGTGCACGCAGCACAGCGAAGATTTACACGCACACACACGTGCACGCAGCACACCACAGAGTGACAGACACGCACACACAAGTGCACACAGCACACTGACAGACACACTAGTTACAACTCTCCAGCCCTGCTTCCTGGGCACATGCTGTGCACCAGGCCGTAACAGGCTCACAGCAGCCCTGTAGGGAGGAGCCACTTCTTCTGATTTCACAGATGCCAACACTTCAGGTCAAAACTGCTAAGTCATACCCAAAGTTCCCAACAGTTAAAGAATTGAGCAAAGTTCTGAACACAGGTCCAGACCAAAGTCTGTTCTTAAAACATTATGCTGCTTGCTGTATAGGCTCTGGGGCAGTGGGCGGCACGTCCTCGGGTGGACTAAGAAGACACAGCTGGACAGAAGCTCTGACGTGACTCTGATCATAGACACTAGGTCCGCACTGACTGGACCAGAGCGCTAACCTCTATGCAGGACGGTAAGGTCACAGAGGTCCAGAAGTGGAAGGTGCATCCTGGGAGCACTGTCTGATTTCAGATAAAGACACTGACTGACCTACAGACACAAGGCCTACTGTCTACTGCAAGCCACTCCAGGCCCAGTCCTCTGACTGCCTGGAAAGACGGGAGGGAACAGGCATGTGGACTGGCACATGGTCAGTGCCAGTCCTCTGGTCTAGCCTACTGCTGATTCCACATGAAAGATCTGTAATGGTCATAATACGAAGGTGGAGGGGGATCTTCTACCCGTCTGAGCACATGGTTGCCTGAGCATCCAGCATCTCTGCCTGTGATGCCCTGGGCACTGAGGTACTGCCCTGGTTTGGGGCTTCTTCCTATAGGGTAAGGAACTGAGTTCAATTCCCAGCACCCACATGGCAGCTCACAACTCCCTATAACTCCAGCTCCAGGAGATTCAACACCCGCACTCAGACATACATGCAGGGGAAACACCAATTCACATAAAATAAAAATTAAAAAATTATAGAAATCCAAGTTGAGGGACCCCACAAGATGGCTAAGCCAGAAGAGGTACAAGACCTGAGCCCCGTCCCCATGACCCACATGGTGGAGAGAACCAATGCCCTCAAGCTGTGCTGACCTCGTTTCTGCCCTAGCACACATGTTCACACGCATGCGTTCACACGCATGCAGCCCAAACTCACATACACAGTAACAATAGAAATTAAAAAAAACCAGCACAGTCTGTGCAGGGAGCACTCAAGGTCACCTCCATTTAAACAGCAAATTTGAGGCTAGCTCTAGCTACATGTGACTGTCTCAAAACGAGAAAAGAAAGCAGAGGGAAGTAAAAGGATCAGCTCTCCTTGCACCTCAGGGGGACGACCACTGAGTCCCAGGCTCATCTTTTGTCACCTACAGTCACAGAAATGTTCTCATGGAGTCTGTTGTACACTTAAGAATAATGGGGGGGAGGCAGGTCACGGGGCTGGAGAGCTGGCTCAGCAGTTAAGAGCATTTACTGATCTTACAGAGGACTCAAGTCCAGTTCCCAGCACCTGTCAGGCAGCTGAGGGAATCCAACGCCCTCACGCCCTCTTCTGGCCACTGGAGGCATTGCACTCACGTGCACAAACCCCACTCAGATGGGGCACACACATGTTTTTTTTAAATCTTTGGAAACAAACAAAACAAAAAAGAGAAAGAAAACACATTAAAACGGGGTTTGGTAAGAAACAGAAAGCACTGCTCACAGACAAACAAGAGGCTGGGGGAGCTGCCTCTCACCGCTGCAAGGACTCTGGGCAGGCCTTCCTCCGTACAGCCCAGCTGCAGCAGGGCTCAGTGTGCCACTGTAGACAGCGTGAAGGGTCTTAGGGGAGGGTCACAAGGGAATTCTGGGTCCCAGGGTCCTCTCAGTAAAATGTGGCTGAACCACACACAAGATTCCATAAGGCAACTCACTGAAGACCCTAGACAGTGTCACAACCCAAGAAATGTCAACTTTCTACGCTGGCTGTGGTGACTCGTGCCTGTAACCCTAGCACACAGTGGAAGGGTGCATGCTGGGAGCTCAAGGGTACCCTCAGCTACATAGCAAGTTCTGGGCCAACATACTACATAAGAACCCGTCCTAAAAAACAAAACCTGGCCAGTGAGCTAGCTCGGTGCACAGAGGTGCCTGCCACACACTCCCTGGACCCCCCACAGATATGCAAACAGAGAACTGACTCCACAAAAATTGTCCTCTGGCCTCCACCTGTTCATCCTGGCACACACAAGCACACACTTACACACACACACATACACATCAGCCTTTTAACAAAGCTATAAATTGGTGTGCAACTGGCAGGCAATCTGACAGGAAGTGGAAGAAACAGTCACAGAAGTGGAGCACAGTGGCGTCCCAGAAACAGATGTGCTGGGCCACAAGCACTGGGCTTCCCAGAGACCGTTCCTTCCTGGGCCATGGCCGCCATACCCAGGCCTACCTGAGGGGCAAGGCTTGGCAATCTCAAAGAGCACTGTACCCGTCTCCAGATCTCGGATTTTGAACCGGGTAAAGTCAATGCTGTAGACATTGTCCTCAGGTTTACACAAATAATCTGAAAAGGAGAGACCAATGGTATCAATCTTCCAAGTTACCATCCAGTTCATCTGCTGGTTTTAAAGCAAATATGTCTTCTATGCAATTCACTGGAAATGTTCCCAAACCTCCTCTCGTTTTTAAGGTGTATTTACTTTATATGTATGGGTGTTTTGCCTGCATGGAAGCAGCACATCTGTGCAATGGTGGAAGAGGTCAGAACAGGGGCTCGGATCCTCTGTCATAGTTACGGTTTGGTTGTAAGATGCCTTTTGGTGCCGGGTGGTGGTGGCGCACACCTTTAATCCCAGTACTTGGGAGGCAGAGGCAGGTGGATTTCTGAGTTCGAGGCCAGCCTGGTCTACAGAGTGAGTTCCAGGACAGCCAGGACTACACAGAGAAACCTTGTCTCGAAAAAAACAAACAAACAAAAAAAGATGCCTTTTGGTGCTGGCACTAAACCCAAGTCCCCTGAAAGAGCAGCCAGTGCTCTCAACAAGTAAGCCATCTCTCAAGGCCCAAATACTTTCTTTAAAATGTATTTAACATTACTTTTTATTTTATGTAAGTCTTAGTCACTGTTCTATTGCTGTGAAGATGCGCCATGACCAAGGCAACTCTTAGGAAAGCATTGAATGGGGGTGGGGGTGGGGTGGGGGGGTTTACAGTTTCAGAGGGCTAGTCTGCCATCATGACAGCACACGGAGCTAGAGCAGCGGTCCTTCCCTTCCTAAGACTGCGACCTTAAACACAGTCCTCATGGTCTGGTGAAACCAACCAAAACACTGGTTTTTGTTTGTTTGTTTGTTTGCTTGCTTTTTGGTTTTTCGAGACAGGGTTTCTCTGTGTAGCCCTGGCTGTTCTGGAACTCACTCTGTAGACCAGGCTGGCCTCGAACTCAGAAATCCATCTGCCTCTGCCTCCCAAGTGCTGGGATTAAAGGTGAGCGCCACCACCACCCGGCGGGGACTCTTATTCAAAGCACCACAACGTGCATGGTGCATGTTTTGCCTGTATCACATGGGTACACTGTCTGCAAGGAGGCCTGAAGAGGATGCTGCACCCCCTCAGACGTGGTTGTAAACCACCACGTGGATGCTGAGAACGGAACCCAGGTCCTCTGGGAGAGCAGCCAGTGCTCTTAACCATTAAGCCATCTCCCCAGGCCCAAACATCCTCTTGTATTATCAAAATTAGGAAGTTCAAAAAAGAAAAGGGGAGAGGACAGAGAAAGAAGTTTAGAGATACACTATATATGTATGAAATTGTCAAAGAATATTTGTTATTGTTGTTGTTATTGTTGAAGACAAGGTTTCTCTGTATAGCCCTGACTGTCAGACCAGGCTGGCCTCGAACTCACAGAGCGCTGCCTGCCTCTGCCTCCTGAGTGCTGGGATTAAAGGTGTACACAATCTCTGCCTAGCATAGTTTTTTTGTTTTTAGTTTTTTCCTTAAGCTTGTTCATTTTCATCTCATCTGCAATGGTGTTTTGCTCATGTGTGTCTATCTGAGGGGTTGGACTCCCTGGAACTGGACCTACAGAGAGCTGGAGCTGCTGATGGAAGTTCTGGGAAGTGAACCTGGGTCCTCTGGAAGAGCAGCCAGTGCTCTTAACCACTGAACCATGTCTCCAGCCTGAAATTTTAAAAAAATATTTAATGCATACTAAGAAGTAATATAGGGGTTGTTTGCCAACTGTATCAAAAAAACAGATCAAGCTTTTCTAGGAAAGGCCAGGTTACAAATAACTCAGACTCTGCAGCTGTGCAGCGTATGACAGAAGTACTCAGCTCTCACTGTATCCAGAGGTCTACGGACAGGAAGTAAACAAATGAGCAGACGGAACTGTCGGTGCCCACGGAAGCCAAGTCGAACAGTCACGTGTAACAAGACTTTACCATCCACTTCAACCACTTAAAAGGTTAAACCCATTCTTGGTTTGCTGTACAAAAGCATGCATCCATTAGCAAGGCCAGGGAGACTGTTAGGCCAAAGCAGCCCCTACAACAACCCAAGGAGCTAGTCAAAACCAGGTCACAGAGATGCCGCTGCCTTGTGGGCTGGCTCCCACAGTCTCCTCCAGCCGCTGGGCACTGGCTTAGCATGGTCCTTTGTGTTAGCTGTTTCGTGTTCTACAAGCAGGTTGGACTCGGGTGAGATGGCAAACTGGAGAGCTACTGTACCCCAAAAGCGTGTGGCAGAGGTTCTATGTCTGTGGGATGTGTTTGGTAAACAACTTGTAGAACAGAAGAACTTGAGAGAGATAAAATCCAAAGGCCACTACACTCTGGCTGTGGCTTTCTCTAAGGACTTGCAGAGATGGGCAGGGACATCACTCTCAAGTGTTCCGGGGAGACCTGGGTGCCCTTAGCATGTCTGTAGGGCCTGGCATCTGACAGTGCTAACTCAGTAGTGAGGCTCACAGGATGTTAGTGGCCAGGTGCTAACCATTTCTGTACTTTCAAATCCACCCTGTGAAAACCGAGAACTCAATCGGCTTTTCACTGTTCTGGGACCGCAAGAGCGTAACTATCTTAAGTTGTTTTCGGGCAGTCGAAAGAGAGTCCCAACCCAAACAGTGTTGGGAAACTGGGTCACCAAACATCGAAAATCAAATTAAAACTATTTTAGGAGATGGAGGTTTCCTCCTGCACAGGCGGAACCAGTTAATAGACACTTTCCCTCAAACTTCATTTCCAAGTCCCCGGGAGCTGCTATGAACAACCTGAACTAGACCTCACAGCCCCGGGGCCGGGTGAAGCAATCCTGCGGACACTCTGGTATCCTTCAGGGAAGCGGGGTTAGAAGTCTCCAGGGCAGGGAGGTGAGGAGGACAAGCCAAGGCTAACCAGGTGACTGCAAACTCCTGGGGGAAAGGGAGTCAGGTCGGGACTGGACTGGGCAGCTTCCAAAAGACAGAGATCATCAGGGAACAGACGTATCTCTCTTCCCACCATTCCTTACCCCGGCAGAAAGACAGGAAAGGTGACTTCTCGTGTAAAAAGAAAAAAAAAAATCGTACTTCTGAAACCCTGACAAAGAAAAATTCAGATTTCGAGAGCAAGATCCCAGGGCCAACTTATACAAAACGCTCAAACTTTTAAACTTTTTTTTCTTTTTTTAAAGTGTGGTGCAGTTTAAGTCCGCAAGAAATGCAACAGCCACGTGTCTGAGGGAAGCACAAGCTACCTGTACACAAAGGGGTCCCCGACCCGGGAGAGGGGACCAGAGCAAGGTCGAGCGGGGGAGGGGCTGTCAGGAGCGAGAGCAGAGGGAAAGGCGGAGTCGGCAGGTAGGGGCTCCGGAGCAGGGGGCTGCGGAAGATGGGGGTAGGTGGATCGGCAGGACGGACAGGGACCTGGCTAAGGGCTGGGGTCGCGGGCGAGCAGGGCAGGCCCAGGCCCGGATACGCTCGGACTCTCGAAGCCTTGCTCGCCGGCTCTGGGAACCGGGCCGTCAGAAGCACGGCCTGAGCAGACAGACCCCGGCGCCACCACCCGGCCCAGCCCGCCAAGGACTCGCAGGCCCGGTGCCCGGGGAGGGCGCGGCCCGCCCGCCACTCACTCTCGGTGACCCGGTTGAGGCGTAGGACGTGCTCAGGGCGGATCGTGTCCAGTGCCAGCAGCTCCTGCTCCGTGACCACGGCCCCGGTGCCGTCGTCGGACGTGTGGGGGGTGCCCTGACGCCGCGCCTTGAGTCGGTTCAGGACGCCGCCGCCCGCCTTCTTCTTCTCCTCCTTGCCAGCCACCAGCCCGCCGGGCCCAGCCTGCGACCCCGCGGTCGCAGCATTCGGGTTCGACCCGCTCATCGCTCCACCGCCAAGATGGCCGCCACCTCAGGGCGCCGTAACTATGGAGAGCGGGGGCGGAGCCCAGCAGCCTAGGGGCGGGGCCTGAGCTCCTGGAGGCGGAGCCCGGGCGCCTGGGGGCGGGACCCTTGGGGGAGCCGCCTCCCAGGCCAACTTTGAGATAGGGTTAGGCTGAGAGACCCGAGGATCTTCACACTCCAGACACTCTTGATATTTAAAATACATTCTTAAAAAGTAAAATAAAGCCGGGCATTGGTGGCACACGCCTTTAATCCCAGGACTTGGGAGGCAGAGGCAGGTGGATTTCTGAGTTCGAGGCCAGCCTGGTCTACACAGTGAGTTCCAGGACAGCTAGGGCTACACAGAGAAACCCTGTCTCGAGAAACAAAAAAAAAAAAAAAAAAAAGAAAGAAAGTAAAATAAAAATTAAAGTGAAATACATATTTTAGTCAAACGGCTTGGAAACAACTCTAACAATTAGTTAAGTTGCTGGTGCATGCTTTTAATCTCGGTCCTTGGTGGGGGGGGGGCCAGAAGCAGGACAATCTCTGAGTTACAGGATAACCAGGGTTACACAAAGAAACTTTGTCTCTTGGAGGGGGGAAAAAAAGGTGCTCTTAACCACTGAACCATCTCTCCAGTCCCTGTGTCTTATTTATTTATTTATTTATTTATTTACTATTTTTGGCGACAGGTTCTCACTATATAACCTGTCTGATCTGGACTATGTAGTCAAGTCTGGCTTCAAACTCACAGAGATCCACCTGCCTCTGCCTCCCAAGTTACTGGGTTAACTATCCATTGCCACCACCTGGTTCTACAGTTTCATTTTTTTTTGCCCCCACCCTCCCCTACAGTTTCATTTTTAACAGGGTTAGGAAACTGGAGAATGATTTCCGATTTGACTTTCCTCACTACTTTCTAAGGTTTATGAACGGTTTTCTTTGAAAAAAAAAAAGACATATCCTAGCAGTTAGAAGAAAATAAAATAGAGAATTACTGCATTAAACAGTAACTGCCTCCCCTGTGACCCCCAAGACTGCTCAGAGTCTCTTCAGCCACTGTAAGAGGTGTGACTGCGGCTGAGTTCCAAGGCAGTCCCCTAGTAACCAGGTGGCCTGCCTCAAATCAGACCAGGCAAGTCGAGCTTAGAGCTGGTGCACCCAAGGTAAGCTTGACATCACAGGGCTTTTCTCTGCAGACAGGGAGGGCAGATCTGCTGCTTTCCGAAAGATGGCTTGCCTCAAATCAGCAAGCTGGGGCTGGACGGCAGACACACCTTATAGTCTGGGATCAGAAAGTAGTAATTTCCCCAGTATCTAAGCCACTTCACTCCTAGACTGAGGACTTTTTTTAAAAGGCCATCAATTCATTAATTGAACATCCTACTTGATCTCTAAAAAGAGATTTCTGGCATATTTTAAAGCTACATGGTGCGCGATTGGTGAATACAGTTTTCATAGTTTTGTGTAGGGGGTAGCATGTGTTGATGTAGTAATTCCTGAAAGCGCTCTGTGGGGCTTGGACTCATATCATACATGTGAATGATAAGGCTCATACATGTGACTTGCTTCCCAGTTGATGGAACTGTTTGGAAAGGACTAGGAGGTGTGGCCTCAGAGGAGGTGTGTCACTGGGAATGGGTTTTGAGGTTGTAAAAGCCCACACCGGGCCCTGCTAACTCGCTCTTCGTCTGTGTCAACACGTGAGCTTTCCTGCCTGCCTGTGTGCCTGTTGCCATGCTCCCTGTCCTGTGGGTCACCAACTCCAACCCTCTAAAACGATACGCCCCATTTTAAACCCCGCTTCTGTAAGTTACCTTGGTCACGGGGGTCTTGTAACAACAAGAGAAAGGTAAGAGGCTTCTCAAAAAACACTTGCACACATGGGTGTGCACTCTAGCAACTTGTACTGCCAACAGAAACAATGAGCTCTCAAGGTTCACTGTTCAATGGGAGACTGGTAAAACACACCACGATCTCATAGCTGCTGGGCCCTCTTCAAATGGAAGGCTTATCTGTATCCGTCTATCTCCACAGACTAAGACATGTTTTTTATTTGTTTGTTTGTTTTTGTTTTTGTTTTGTTTTGTTTTTTGGTTTTTCGAGACAGGGTTTCTCTGTGTAGCCCTGGCTTTCCTGGAACTCACTCTGTAGACCAGGCTGGCCTCAAACTCAGAAATCCACCTACCTCTGCCTCCCAAGTGCTGGGATTAAAGGTGTGCGATACCACAGCCTGGCAGACTAAGACACATTTAAAGGGGGGGAAAAACAAACAACCCCAAGATGCAGAATGGTGTGCATAGAATATCTACATTTATTTATAAATATATTATAAATATATAATATATAAACATATATATTATATATTTTAAATGTTATATAAATATGTATATATTATAAATATATAATATATAATATTATAAACATATAAAGCCACTTGCCAAATCTGAGGACCTGAATTTAATACCTAGGACCAACATGGTAGGAAGAAAAAGCCACCTCCTGTACACAGTCCTCTGACTACTACATACATGCATGGCACAGCTGGTGTGTACACATGAACACTCCTGTTCGTGCATGTGGGTGCACATAGATGCACACTAAATGTAATTAAAATACTATCTGTACACAATTGCAAATACATAGCAGATAGTAGATGGGAATGAAACTGTCACCTGTGCCGGCCGTCCTGCAGATGTTAAAAGGGATGCGGGTAAGCAGTATTTACTGGGGGTGAGGGGGTCAGGTGTTGAAGATACGGCAGTGGTAAACACATTGTCTTGTGCATGTGAGGCCCTGGGTCTAATCACTAGTAACAGTGAATAAATAGATAAAATTTTAAAAAATTATTTCCCTGTTTTGTTCCAATGTTGTTTTAAAAATGGTTTTCTGCATTTCTGTCTGTGGAGGCCAGAGCTTGATATCAGGTATCCGAAGTGGAAACTTAAGGGTTCTTTTGGAAAGTGTTGGATGGTGTCTTCCTGAAGTGAACACAAGTGAATGAAGAGGCATGAGACGTGCTGGATGAAGGAGTCTTCACTAAGGACACGCAGGTATTGGTCCGCCTTACATTGTGTAGTTGAACCCCATTTGTTGGGACTCCATAGAGAATCCTGCTTCCTCGGACTCAGGCTGGTTGGCAGAGTGATGCCAGCTGAGACGGACTCACTGGAGTCTTGCTGAGTCAGACTGGTGATGTTTGGAGGGAGGATGAATAGGACCCAGCAGACACTGAAGGAGCTGAGCTTGGCTTGCTTACACAGCTAAACACTTCTTGGTCTCCCATTTTCACCAATCTTCGCTTCGCTGAGAGAGGCACAGCTGAGAACTTCTCCTGGAGTCCCTCTTGCTGACCCATGCTGAGGCAGAGGCTGGCTGTCTCTGCTAGGTAGTGCTACCGCTGCTGATTTGTGTCTGCTGCCCGACACTACCGAACTGGACTGTTGCTGTATGCAATGAACTGTTTGCAAACCGACTGAGCTGCTGCTGCTGACCTGAGAACTGCTGATTGATATCCTGACAATGCAGATGAGATTTGCTCCTAAGAACCTTTCTAAACAGGTCCACTTCCCCCCCCCCCCGCCCCATCCTTTCTTTTCCATTACCTCTGGTAGATAGTGGGCTGGAAGGGAGGTTCAAGTGTTTTAAGAACCATCCTTAAAAGTAAGTTTTGAGCTGGGCAGTGGTGGCGCACACCTTTAATCCCAGCATTTGGGAGGCAGAGGCAGGCGGATTTCTGAGTTTGAGGCCAGCCTGGTCTACAGAGTGAGTTCCAGGACAGCCAGGGCTACACAGAGAAACCCTGTCTCGAAAAAACAAAAACCAAAACAAAACTACCAAAAAAAAATCAGGTCCCTGTGTGCAGGGCGGTTAGCTCGGATCCTGTTGTGGTTCCTGAGACTCCGGAGAGCAGCAGAAGCACAGGATTTTTTTGCACCAGGCATACACTGAGGGGGCTCACGCCCAGGCATGGGGAGATCTCACTCAGTCTAAAGTTCCGAGGGGGTCAGGGCTCTTGAGTGGACCCTGCCATTCTTTGAGCTCCCAGATGCCACTGGGACAGAGAAGCAAGAGAAACGAGGGAGAGAGAAAGCCCTGACAGTGCCCTGCGGGGAAAGAGACACTTTGGCTACTGTACTCGATTGGCTGACTCAGCAGTCAGGCTAGCTTGCTTGAATTAGTGGTCCCCGTGGCTAGAACCCAAGGAAGTCCTTGACGGGAGATTAGGCAGCTGCAGCGGTGGCGACAACAGCTCATTAAAGGCCTTTTCCACGGTTTCCCACATTGGGCCCCAAAAGACACGAGGAAGTCCATGGTTTTACAAGATTTATTGTTATGGTAGGAAGAAGATGGATCTGACTGTACCCCCACGAAACTCAGGGCAGACCTGAGTTAAACAAGGAGGGAGGAGGGTCTAAGAAGGAATACTTAATTGGCTACGCCCTCTGGCCCTTAGGTATCTTATTAACATGGAAATCTCTCAAGGGCCTGAGGGGCTGTATTGCCCTACGTGACTGAAAGGCGGGGGTCAATGGGGGTCTTTGGCTGCGTGTCAGGAGTCTGGAATCCGGGAATGTGGCGAACTCCGGGCCATTTCTAGTCAGTGCTCTACCAGAAACCAAGCCATCCTTTCACAGTTCCACTCCTGTGCTCTCAGTCAAACATATTACCCACTGAGCCTTTCTCCCAGCCCCCATATTACAGTCTTATCTTGCTATGCCTTTTATGTTCTTTTATGTTTTAAAATTTGGTTTATGTATTTTTGCCTCCATGTATGTCTGGTCCCACAGAAGCCAGAGGGAGGAACCAGATCCCATGGAATTGGAGTTACATATGGCTGTGAGCTGCCAGATGGGTGCTGGGAACCAAGCTTGTGCCCTCCAGAAGAGCAGCAGTACCCTTTTTTTTTTTTTTTGAGACAGGGTTTCTCTGTGTAGCCCTGGCTGTCCTGGAACTCACTCTGTAGACCAGGCTGGCCTCAAACTCAGAACTCCACCTGCCTCTGCCTCCCAAGTGCTGGGATTAAAGGCGTGGGCCACAACCGCCCAGCAAAGTTCTACATCTTGATTGACGGACAGCAGAAAAGAACTATCTTCTCCAGACAGCTAGGAAAATATTCCACCCTGAGCGGAGCTTAAGCATAGGAGTTCAAAGCCCACCTGAACAGTGACACACCTCCCCAACAAAGACACACCTCCTAATAATGCCACTAATAGTGCCACTTCCCATGAGCCAAGCATAGTCACTACATTAGGTGAGAAAAAATATATTTCCCTATACTTGGGAGGCTGAGGCAGGACTGCTGAGAATTTGAGGCTAGTTATGGATATACAGTGAATTTCAGGCTATCCTGGACTACAAAGTATAACTCTCAATAAAACACACACACACACACACAAGACATGCAAGCACACAACCAGTTTGTTTTAAAATTTGTGTGTCCCAGGGAAGGTTTTCAGACTTGGAGACAGGCACTTTATCATGGCATTAAAAGTACAAGCTTAGCCGGGAGGTGGTGGTACACGCCTTTAGTCCCAGCACTTGGGAGGCAGAGGCAGGCAGATTTCTGAGTTCAGCCTGGTCTACAGAGTGAGTTCCAGAACAGCCAGGGCTACTCAGAGGAACCCTGTCTCGAAAAACCAAAATAAATAAATAAATAAATAAATAAAAGTACAAGTTTGGGGTGAGCATGGTATTATCCACCTATATAACCTAGCACTTGGGATGTGAAGCCAGGGCTATCACAAGTTCAAAGCCAGCCTAGGCTACACAGTTAAATTTCTGTCTCAAAAAATTAAAAAGTTCAGATCCCAGGTTCACTTGGCCAGTAAGCAGCCGTGGGAAGTTTGGGCAGGCCATTCCTCCCCTGAATCTGAGTCCCTGGATGTGACTGATAGTCACCATACACCCCAAACTGTCAGGAAGACAAAATAGAAACAGCAACAAAACAGTGCTATGTGGATTCCAAGGAGAATCTGGGCAATAGTCCTATGTCAGCATTCACGAGTGGGCCTTACCTAGGGACCTCTTGCAAGGACAGAGGGAAGATATGGAGCTGTGTGAGAGAAAATTGATGATACCTCCATCAGTTAGAGGTAGGCAGAGACCAGGTGGGGCCAGGTCTTGGAAACACAACAGATTTGAATGGAAGCAATAAGGAAGCTCACTCAGGAATGCAGCAATTCTTTAATTTTATTTATTGAGGTCTCATCATATAGCCCTAGCTGGCCAAGAACTTGCTATGTAGACCAGGCTGGCCTTGAACCTCAAATTTGCAGAGATCTGTCCATTTGCCTCTACCTCCCAGGTGCTGGAATCAGAGCTACCACACAGCTTCAAACATTTTTTTTTTTTTTTAGTACAAGGTCCGAGCCAAAGAGGAAGGGGGTTTGCTTTTTACTACTATAGGTGGCTAAGAACCAAAAAAAAAAAAAAAAAAAAAAACCCAGACTCTTGGGATTGTTAATTCCAGAGCCTCCATGCTCCGCCCCTTCTGCCTTGACCCCCTCACCTTTGCTCCAAGATGTTTTCCAGTAAGTGTTAGAATATCACCTCTCCCCCTCTGTGGAGGACAGGGCGGGGAGTAAGGGGGAGTTAAGTATGGAGGAAGGTCTGACACAGGCTCCAGCCAACCCGGAGCCTGATTTCCTAAGTAAGATTAATATCTAGACCCACAGAGTGGTCCAACCCAACAGCTGCACTTGGCCTGTGTTCTTCTGTTAGAGAGTTTCCCTCCCTTTAAGTCCCTAGGGCAGTGCTTTTTCAGGTCCCATCCCCATCTGGCAGGTCACTGATGCTATGCTAAATAACAGTAACACCTACCTTGAAATTAGTAAAGAACTTTACCTTTGAGAGGGCTCAGCCAGAGTCTCTACAGGTCTTCAGAACAGACTCTGTCAACACAGGCTTTATTCTTAGAGCTAAGTACTGAATTCTACCATTGAAAGGGTGACCCAGCAGGCAGGGCAAACTCATCCTTCACAAAGTCAGAAACGTCCATTCCTGTTTGGAGAAACCACCGTGGCTATGTTCTGGAGACATATCACAACATTTCGGGGAAATGAAAGGCCACAGAGAGTAATCACCAAGATCCAGAATGGAAGGCTAGGCGTGGTGGCTCTAACTTTTAATCCCAGCATTCAGGAGGCAGAGACAGGCAGAGCTCCATGGGTGGGAGGCCAGCCTGCTCTACAACCTGAGTTCTAGGTCAACCAGGTTACTTAGTGAGACTAAGTAAACAAATAAACCAAGAACCCAGTTTGTTGCTTTTATTTCTTGCTATGTTGCCATGGTCAGTCACTCTCCAAGGGGAAACAGAGTAACTAACATCTGTGAAGTACTTGGCATTGTGGCCAGCCCATTTCAAAGGCTCCCTTGAGGGTAGCTGGAGTAGGTATAGCTGAAGGAAGCGTCTGGGTACTGGTGGCAGAAAAGACTGCCTCCAAATCATGGCTTGACCATTTACTAACCAACCTGAGGCAAATCACGGACATTCTGAGCTTCCTGTACCACTGCTTTAAAACAGGGCTGATAAATTTTAGGGAGGAAAAAAAAATTCCTTCCTGCATTCTGGCCTTCCACCTGCCAGGGAAGGGGAAAGCGAGAGAACTCTTGTATGGCTTCACTTGCAGGTAGCCAGCCTCTCAATAGAGGGTACAGAACACAGACACAGCTTGAGGCCTGACATGCCTTTCAACAGAAGTTAAGGCTGCATATTCCAGTCAGATTCAAACAAAACACACTGACTTGATTTTTCCTGGAGTGTTGGTTGAAGTGGTCAGGCCAAGAAGTGTGAAGAAGTGTGTACCCTTTGTGCCTGGAGGTCAGATGACAACCTGTAGGAATACTGGCTCTCTCCTTCCCTGTGTGCGCTCTAGGATCTAAGCCAAGCCTTTAGGCTTGGTAGCAAGGACCTTTACTGTCTGAGCCATCTCACCAGCCCCAATTGAGGCAAGAACGCCATTTCATTAGTCCACGGCCTCCCTTCCCTCCCCTTCCCCTACATTAGCTTCCATTATTTGAGGAGGGGTCCATTTACAAATCTATTGGGGAAGTAGCACAGCAGAAGCCAGCTCTCCCCTGCCATGATCAGGATCAAGCTCAGGTTATCAGTTTTGGTGGCAGATGGGCCATCTCACTGGCCTCTCTCAGCGGTGGGGGCGGGGAGTCCAGACTAACAATAGAACTGAGTGTTATTTAATTGAATGTGTTCTTCAATTCCTGATGCACCCGCACTGGGAAGCCAAGCGTGTGCCCCGCCGCTGCCGGCGCACCCTCACTTTCTGTGAGTTAAACTGAATCTCAACACAGAGCATCACTGCAAATTGTTTATTAAAACACAAAGCAATGGACAGTGAAAAACATCCTGATTTTTTACTTTTTGGTGGAAGTGGGGTGGGGCATGGAAGGGGTAGAGATGGATGGAGACAGCCCAGAAGGAACAACGACCCCTGCTGCTTCCCTGGCCAGCCAGGTTCAAGGTTCCTCAATATACTTTGCCACACTGCTGTGAATGCACGGTGTGGCCAGAGTCAGTCTGGTCTCACAGGGAAAACGGGAAAGAGTACGAGCTATAAAGGCTAGGACTTGATGCCTGTTCTCCAGTACTGCATTCCACAGAAGGAGCCGAGTTCAAGACTGAGGGATGGGGTTGGTTTCCTCACAAACCAGGCTGGGCCAACAGTGGTTGAAGAGGCTACCCTGAGCTTAGAGTGGACAGCCATCCTATCCCGGGGAACTTTGTGAAAAGGTAATGCTCCTTAACTCCAACGAAGGAACTAACCCAGGGTCAAATCTCTTTTCATTCCCTGGATCATGGCACACCAGGAAAGAAGAGCCAAGAATGTCTCTTTTTCTAGTTTTGCCACGACATCTCTCCTTGCCAAGTCTCCCCTCCCACCTGGCACCTCAACCGTTTCCTGACAGTTGTCCTTTGAAAGGACGGAAAGCACACTTCAGTTTGTTGTTGTTTTTCCTCATACTGAAATAAAGCACTAAGCTCAAAATAGAGGTGAGGATAGAGTTCTGCTTTTCCCGATGCTCTGTGCTTCCATCTCACAAGATGCCTGGATGCAAATGTGCCAAGGCCTTCCCTGCCAACTCCCACAGGCACTCCTGTCTCCCCGGCTGCCAGCACAGTCCTGGCCCCTTGTTTTTACACTCCTGAGAGAAGCCCATCCCAAGACATGCACTCTGTTCTTTTCCTGCCAATGCAACCAGTCCCCAGATCTGCTCTTATCAAGATGGTCTGTCCACCTAGAGAAATGAGGCAAAAGCAGCCCGGGAAAGACAGAGCAGATGGGCAGCAAGCCATATGCGTACAGAGAATGCAGCCCTCCCTGGGCAGCTGACCACCAGTACCATGCTAGTCATCTACCACCATGAAGAAATCGATCCTTGCCCTCTCCTGTGTAAGGGAAGTCCAACCCAGACAGTTTTAGTTCCACCTGGAAGATAAAGCTGCCCAAACTCTCCGGTATAAGCAGTAAGGCTTCTTTGCAATTTTCTTAGTGCTCTTTGATCCCTAATTACATCTTCCCTATAAGAGAGGCCGACCTCTTCTGCCATCTCCGAGCAGATCCTGGGTGTCTGCGGTTTGTCTGTCTTAGCTGAGAGTCACCTTCTTCAGAGGCCACAGCAGGAGCATCTGTTAGTGTCTCATTGAGAATGCTCACGTGCTCTCCCAGGTCTCTAGTCTCCTAGAAGAGTCACACGTGGTGGCCACAATTCCATTAAGGTTCCTCAAGGTAAGAAGACACCTGAATTGTGTCAGAGTAGGCCATCGAAGAAGGGGAGAGATAGGGAGACAGCCCACAGCAGGGACTATCGGACCCCTGCCCAGACCTGGATCTAGAGAGGATGCCCACCTGACTCAGAGCAGAGAGGAAAAGGCACTGTGCTGACCGGGGCGGGTCCTTCCCCAGTTCCCAGGGAGGAGAGCGAAGGACTCCCTAATGACTCCTCCCTGGACTCTGAAAGGTGGGCCAGTTTCTAAGGAGAGGGGGCTCTGAGCACTAAGAGAAGGGAAAACTGCGCTGTTCCTCAGATCCTTGCTAAGACTCTAGACCAGGGCCAGGCCTTCCCAGGAGAGGCAGGAACGAGACAAGGAGAAATTCCTTAAAACAGAAGCTTCTCGCCAAAATGAAAAAATCAAACCCCAGTTCTGAAACTGCTCCTAGGCACACAAGGCGGGAGGGAGTCAAACAACTCTACCCAGCTCACTGAGGCGCAAGTGACCCTGGGATCTCCTATTCAGCAGGAACAGGAGAAAAAGTCACATACTTCATCAACAGGCAGAGCCTCTCACACGATGGGCATCTGAAGGCTGCCTTTCAAACTGCCAGATCTGTGGGTGTCTAGTGGGCAGCTCCTCCGCAGGACTGTGGACTTTGCAGACAATAGATTTAATGGTTAGGGACATAAGTCCCACAAATCATGTCTTGGCACAATGTGTAAGATAGTTTGAATAAGACCTAAAGCAACCCAGTCAGACTGACCTAAACCACACTGAACTTGCAGACTCAACTCAGCTGTCATTGCTCGATCCTCCCAAGACACGAACAGAACCAGACTCTGCTCTTGTATCTTTCTCTCCACTGCTGGAACAGTGGGCTCTAAAATCCTGGGTGCGAGCATAGCTCAAGACAGAAAACCTGGGCCTCTCCTGCCCCACCCCCTGACAGCACCACTCACAGCTCCAGATCCCAGGCAACTCCTTGTTCTAGCTCAAAACACAGAGGGGAACAAACAGTGCAAAAAGCAACATGAACAATGGAGTCATTCTTGACACACACAATACAAAAATAAAAATAAAGCTGCCCCACCCAACCCCTTTAACCCAAACCTCAAGTACCTACACCATCTCAGAGGAAGGGAAAGCTTTCAAGTTCACTGTGAAGCAGCTCTTAGCTGGGCAGGCTTGGTTTAGGGGACTCTCCCCCAGCCCCTGGCATACTCCTTCCCTTCTGTTTCCTCACTTCCCTTTTAGTTTTTGTTAGCTACAGAAAGATGTTCCTTCCGTTCAGACACAACTAGAGAGGAAAGCACCCATCCCTATCCCTCCGGGAAGGGGTGGGCTTGGAAACAGAGGCAGAGGCGAGCTGCTTGGCTTACAGTACCATTAGGAAACGGCCCCAGGAGTCAGGGTTTCCTTCTGAGACTCTGAGTCACCAAAGGGATGAGTTGGGGTGAGAAAGCTGTACCCCTCCTTGCTCAGAGACCCAGGCAAACAAGGCCACATGGAGGCAGCTGTCCTCCATCTCGTTTAATGTGCTGACAGTGGGCCCACAGGTTTGTAAATAGGAACGGGTCAGGAACCAAAGCCACTGTCAGAAGCCTGGTCAGTCAGCACACCTGTTGCCCTAGGCAGGTAGTCCCTAAGACCACCGTAGTACCTCGCCCTGTTTTACAGGACCTTTGCAAGCACCCCAAGAAGTGCTCCTGACAGCAACTTCAGGGCTCACTATGCAGCTGCCAACTCAGTACCCTAGGGCTAGCCTAAGTCACAGAGAAAACAGAAGACAGTTCTCAAATGACTAAGTGCTAGCCTGGAGTCGTCATTAGGAGCCACAGTCAAGACTGGCCCAAGAGCTGCTGCTGTGTCCCACACAGCTCAATGTCTGATAAGGCAAACTTAAAATTTAAACACATTCAGAAATATGGGCCTGGCCTGAGACTTATACTGCTCCAACTCAAGCGGAAGCAAATTCTGCTGCTTCTGACCTAGAAAATCCCTTTTATCACAGCTGGGTTGTCCCTCACTATGTCTTAACTTACAAACAGACGAAGGTGACCAAAAGAAAGACGGGGGACACAGAAACTTCATCCCCTACAGAGGTGTTTACTGGGAATTTGAGACAGACACTTTGATGCTAAAGTTAGACATTCAGAGCCTCCAGAGCCCCGGCTGACTAGGACTCTCTGAGTCCTGTCATCGTACTCGAATGGGGAGAGGGAGAGGGCAGGAAAGCGCACATTATGATCAATGGGAAAACAGCTGGGCTGGTGCAGCCAGTCTTAACACTGGGGTGACTCTAGGCATAGCCTAAACTAGCTGACAGAGGAGAGACCACAGGGACAGATGGACATCAGATTCTGGACATTGGAAACAGTGGTCAGTTACTTAGCAGGGCTCAAGTCTCTGAGGTTGCTAACATGAGCCTTTTCTAATCCAAAGACTAGAAGAGACTTTTAAGGTCAAGTGCTCTGTCGCTGAGGCTGGAAAGCATCCCTGTCCCCTGGCAGCGAGACCCATGGAGGGGCCAGGAAGAGCTGCTGGCTCAGGAAGTCAGGGAGGGAGGTACCAACAAGGTGAGGTGGTGGAAGGTCAGACACCCCAGCAGAGAGAACTCCAATCTCCTGTCTCCTGCCCAGTTTTGACAATAACTTAGCTCTACAGTTAAGAAGAGAGAAATTTCAAATGAACCAGATTAAGAGAAAAATCAAGAAGAAATCAAGTCCTCAACAGGCACTAAAATCAAAACGATCTGTTGTCGTAACAAGCTGTAGGCAATCTGAGGACCTGACATACACTGGTCGTCTTGGAGACCAGACAGCCCTCGAACTGGCACACAAGATGAGAGATGACAAGGGAGACACGTGAGGTGGAGACATCAACAGGTTAACCCAGAAACGCTTCCAGGAAAGAAGCCCTGCCTTTCTTTTCCAAGCCTTTGCTCTTTTCTTTGTACAACTTATTCACCTCCACACACACACTTGGAATACCATGACTTCTGAAAGCACATCTGGACAGAAACTCAGAACACACCCAACTCCCAGTTCGGTCTTTCCAGATTACTGTGACATTTCTCTGCTGTTTGTTAATGTCTAACCTACAAACAGCAGGAACTGTGACTGCTCTGAGTTCAGAGTCCTTTCTACTAGGTGTATAATGAGGACCCCTGGAGAGGAAGGGTTCCCCTCACCTAAGTACCCCAGAGAGAGGGAGAGCTGGGGGCCAGCTAGGCAGAGCAGGACTGAGCAGCTCTGCGGCCAGTGTTGGTGAGGTGACCCCACTCACTCTGCTTATCTCTTTGTATGTGTGTGTGTGTGTGTGTGTGTGTGTGTGTGTGTGTGTGTATGTGTGCACGCTCATGGTGCACGTGTGTGTATGTGTGTGTATGCTGTTTGATTTCTTTTCTCTTTTGTTAAACACTGTGAAGAATACAGAAACCAACATGTCTGGTTTCTTTCCCACTCCCCTCCACCCTGCTAAGGATGGCTATTTGTTCTCACAAGCGGCAGAGGCAGAAGAGCGTTGGAATGAACACTCCGAAGGCCACCAGGATAGGAAACATGAGGCTGCTGTTGTCCGAGGCATAGGGGTTAGGTGTGCGGGGGCCTGACTGCACCCTGTTCTTGTTGGTCTGTCTTTTAAGATTAGACCCCTCATCATATTCTTCCTCCTCTTCTTCCTCTTCTTTCTTCTCCAATCCTGGATGAGGCTGCAGCTTTGGTACATCTAATAGAAAAAAGAAAATACCCTCTAAGTACACTAAGCCCCAGAGCATACCCATGAGATCATTCAGAGCAGTAGGTGAGTCACACGAGAGACACCTCTGTGATCGAGCCAGGGCCCACAGGGAGGGCTAGAAATGATCTCTAACCTAAACAGTAGAACACAGGAACAGTAGTCAGACTCAGGTTTTACTAAAAGAGTAATACAGGGCCTTCCCCACAGGGAGGTTATCACCCCTTCCTACCTCACTGCTTCAAAGCCCCAAGAGGCCTACAGTAGGCAGGGACAGAGATATGACAATTAAAACTTATTTCAAAGTCCTCCTCTTCCTTCTCTGTGTCCACATTCCTTCTGATACAGATACTGAAGGGCTGACTGTAGGGCTGACTGTTCTGACTCCTACACAACCCAAGCAGAGCCTGGGGTAAAGCAGCACCTTGCTAGAAGACACATGTCAGCACTGGGCCGGGAGGGAAGGTATCAGGGCAAGAGAAGCAAGGCTAGAGGCGGCTCTGTGCTTCAGAGCACCGGCTGCTCCTGTCAAAGACCTAGGTTCGGTTCCCAGCACCCACATGGCGGCTCACGGCCACCACCACATAACCACAGTTCCAGTTTCTCTTTGGAGCTCTGAGAACATTACACATGTGGTGCATACACAACACACATAACACACTTGCATAAGCACACACACAGACAAAATGCTTATACACATAAAATAAGTCTAAAAACATTAAGGATATGACTTTCCATGTATTCAAGACAAGTCGCGAAATAGCACAGAGAATCAACGGAGGAGAAAACCCAGTAAGACACCAAGTGTTCCCTACAGAAACCAGCGAGGAGGCTGGCAGCTAGAGGAACCTAAGCCCTGGGCAAGAGATACATCAAGGTCAAGGAGACACTGATGGTTGTCTCGGGTACTGGAGCAGTGCCTACCAAACACACAGGGACTCCTGCTTTTGTCTTTTTCTCCAAAAGACCAAAGCCCAACGCGAGAATGGAACTTAGACATACTTCAGGTAATTCTATTATATTTACTCTGCGTGCGTGCATGCGTGCGTGTGTGTGTACATTTGCACGCCCACATATGCACACAAGCCCTGGTGGCGGTCAGAGGACAAGTTGTGGGATCAGTTCTCCCGTCTATCACGTGGGTCCTAGGGAATAGTCAGTCAACGGTCTTAGCAGCACGTGACTTTCCTGATGGGTCCTCCTGCCAGTCCTCAGGAAATTCTCACTGAGTAAAATAATGGGCAGGCATCCCAAAAGGAGCCATCACTAATCTCAATGCACAGAGCAGTTTAGAAATTGTCACAGAGGCAGGGTGTGGGGTCACACCTTTACTTGCAGCACTGGGTAGACTGAGGCAGGACAATCTCTGAGTTAAGGACAACAGCTTGGTCTACACAGTGAGGTCCAGGACGGCTGGGATTAGACAGACTCCATCTCAAGAGGAAGAAGAAAAGATTTTGCCACAGACTGACTGTTGATTAAACAGTAACAGGCAGGGATGAACACAGACCTGACTTTAACCCTTTGTGGCCAGCATCATGTGACACTCTGTCCCTATTTATCTGACTTGGAGTTCCCATAATTTGGCTTTAAATATTTCCAAAATGATGACCAGGTATATCATCTCAAGCGTTCCTCAACCATAGCCTTCAGCACTCGTCAGGAAGCAGAAGGAAGAATGATGACTTACCGTCTACCGTCCCAGCCATGATGTAGAGCGCACAGACTTTGGGATTGTCATAGTAACCCTAGGAAACGGAAGAGCACCGTGAGCCGTGGGCAGCCAACACCTTCACCCCTGGGCTGTGAGGCGAGCGGCTGCTACCTTGACAAACTCGATGGAGAGCTTCCCAGTGAAGGTGGACACCTCCCCCTGCACACTCAGCTTCCCCTTCCTGATGCTCATAGGGATGATCTCGTCGTGAGCCGTGCTGTGCCCCACACGATCGAAGATGTCCAAGTCCTTCACCACAACGTGGCCGTTTAATCGGACATCAAACACCTTTCAGGGTTAAAAGACAGTGTCAACACCGCCAGCTTCAAACCCTTCAAGACATTAGACAGTGTGTGCCTGCTTGGGCTTCATAACTTAAGTTACGGCCCTGGATATACTCCAAGTTAGCTGTAGTCCTTCACCAGAGCCAACAAAAACACGACCACGACCCCTTACTGCCTAGGCTCCATGCTGGCCTTACAGGGGAGAAAGGAGACAGAGAACACCAGGGAAACGATCCAGGGGACAAGCTGCTAAGAGTCCAGGAAGGAGGGTGAGCAGGAGGTTCCTACCAGTTTTGTTACCAACCCCAAGACAAGTACAGCCAATGGCAGGGGACGCAGCTCCTCTAGGGTGGGAAGGGACGCAGCTCCTCCAGGGTGGGAAGGTCCAATTTTCCCTCGGAGCTCACTGTTCCTCCCTTAGGAGGAGGCTCACAGGTTTCTACAATGGCCTCAGAGTACTGAGCTGTTCAAAAGCAGCAGTCTGGCCCTGGTCCAGCAGGGACCTGACCCCTCTGACCCCTCCTCACCTTCTGCTGTGACTGCGCAAAGTAGACCTCAGCAAACTTCAGCACCAGCACGTAGTCACCCTCCTCCTTCACAGGGACTTCGTAGCCGAAGGTCTCTTCATTGTACCGCTCGGTCTGATACAGGATCTGGTCCTCTGGGGTGGAGCGCAGGATTGGCAGCTTCATGCCATAGTCTGAGGCTAAGGAAAACACAGAAAGAAAGCACGTCAGAGGCGAGGCAAGAGTAGAGAACTACCAGAGGCATTTCCAGAGCAGGACTCCAGCAACTCCCCCAGTAGATGGGGCCGCTCCCTCTGCATCTGTTTCCACAGAGAGATCACACAAAGACAAGAATCAGATAGCTGCTGACAGGGAGGAGAAACATCAAAGAAACCAAACAGTAACTTTAAATTTAGTTCCTGGGCATGCTGGGAAGGGTGGGAATGGGAACGGGTGAGTCTAGTTCTTGACACAGAGGGAATGAGATGCCGCAGAGCTCTTCACGGAGTCTCAGAGAAAACCTCTGAGACCAGTGAACACCAGCAACTCTCATCAGCTCAAATGAATGTTTTCAGTCTAAAGCACCTGGATTACCTGTCAGGGAAGCCACTTTTGTTTTTGTTTGTTTTGTTTTTTGTTTGTTTGTTTGATTTTTCGAGACAGGGTTTCTCTGTGTAGCCCTGGCTGTCCTGGAACTCATTCTGTAGATCAGGCTGGCCTCAAACTCAGAAATCCGCCTGCCTCTGCCTCCCAAGTGCTGGGATTAAAGGCGTGCGCCGCCGCCGCCACCACCACCCGGCTAGGTTTTTTTTTTTTTTTTCAAAATTTTTATTCCAAAAGTTAACAAGCTGGCAAAGAAAAACTTTTATAAGAGAGGAAGATGTTCCACAAGTCCCTCCTGCTGCAACTATCTTACATGCCACAGACTGAGAACTCACCTCCGCCGCCCTCTTCGCTACTGCCTCAGTTAAATCAACAGGAGAAATGTTCTACCCAGGCTCAGCTCAGGAGCCACTTGCTGCAGCTCCTACAGAAACGAGACTAAAGCACTGTACAGTGGCAGTGGCAGGGTCGGGGTGACAAGGAGCACAACACCCTGTCTAAGAGCCTGCCTTAAGACACTCGTCTCGAGAGCCACCTCCCCGTTTCTAGCACTGACAACAAGGATAAAGGAAATCCTCTACAGCCCTCAGTCCTCTTGGTAACAAGTTATAAATGTGGTTTTTTTTCCCCATAAAACAAACTAAACTAGAGTCTTTCCAAAGATATACCACCCTCCAGTCCTAAGAGATGTCTACTCATGCATCCTGACAAGAAGAATTGGACTCTTTTAGCGCACACACAGGAGGCTTATCAACATTCCATAGAATCCTCCCCAAACTACTTTAGGAGTGTGCCTTTTCTCAGCACGAACTGAAGACTTTAAACCCTCAAGACACCCGACACCTGGATCCTTTGACGGATGGGCAGATCGGCCACAACCACAGCGCCCCGAACGCCACCCGGACCGCGTCTGAGCTCCTCTGACTCACTCCTAAGCGCATATCCCTAGAACTCTATCCTCCAGATCACCATCATTTCAAAGGAAAGGACCCAACAAAAGGTGAAAGATGAACTCAAAGTTCCAATGGCTAAGGTCAAGCCCTCAAAAAAATAAACACAACTGTTAACAGTTCCTGTAAGTGACATTAGCCTTGTGATCAGTTGCACATAAGAGACAATGGGACAGGAAACTCACTGTAGTTTTGTCTTCAGACTCTTCTCCCTGTATCTCCTCAGGAAATCAAAGACGCACAGCTTACAAAGGATGTGGGGCTAACACACCCTAGTCCTTCCCAAGCTCAAAAGCCTCAGGATGTACACCTATGCAGCCTAAAAGGCTATTTCTCTTCCAACTGAGTGCTAAGAGTTTCCTTCTCCCAAGAGGGATGAGACTCTTGCAAATTTGGGACATTAACTAGATTTCATTTATCGATCCACAGAAAATGTTGTGCATGTGTGGACCCCCCGCCCCCACTGAATGGAAAAGTTGAGAAACCAAAACACTGTTGTCTACAGCAGCCTCAGTTCCACAGCTCAGAACACTGCCAAGTGAACAGGACTTAAACAATCTGGAATTAACGTTAACTGGCTTCCCTTTAAGCCAAGTGGCTATCCTAAGAGATCTGCCTCGAAGGCCCAAGAGAGAACAGCAAAAAACGGACTTTTCTTCCCTTACTAGCCTTTATACAGGGACAGCTAAACAGGCTTCTTCAACACAGAACAAGTGTACAGTCACACACTGCTGAAGTTGGCCCAACACAGCTCAGGTAACAGAAAAGAAGGCCAGGGCCCTACATTGTATCTGCTCCCAGGACAGTCAGGCTTCAGAGTAAGACAGGCCTGGACTTGAACCCTGATCCTCCGCCTACTAAGCAGTGCTGAATTAGTTGTTTCTTTTAGGTCCATTTTCTCAACTACAATCTGGAGCCATCATCCACGCCACAGAACTGCAGAGATAGCCAGACACCTGGAAAAATCTTAGCAGCTCATCACACATGGAGACAGACAAAAGATACACATGTAGAAATGCCCACTGGGCAGAGATACGCACAATAAGCACTTAAGAAAATACCTCTGCGCCGGGCGGTGGTGGCGCACGCCTTTAATCCCAGCACTTGGGAGGCAGAGGCAGGCGGATTTCTGAGTTCGAGGCCAGCCTGGTCTACAGAGTGAGTTCCAGGACAGCCAGGGCTATACAGAGAAACCCTGTCTCGAAAATCCAAAAAAAAAAAAAAGAAAACAGGGGAGCAACCTCAGCACCAAGAGGCAGGGCAGGCAGAGTGCTGGGAGCTGCAAGTCAGCCTGGCCTACAGAGCTAGCTTCAGGCAAGCAGGGCTGCACAATGAGTTCCTGTCTGAGTAAATACATAAATAAATAAATAAATAAATAAATAAATACATACATACATACATACATACATACATAAATATGAAAACAGATTAAAAGGAGGTAAGGAAATGAATTAGAAAGCTATAGCTGAAAGGAAAATCTGCAGCGAGCAGAAACATGTAGGTAGGACCCACCATAAAGTACACCTGTGATCCCAGCATGCAGGAGGCTGAGGTAGGAGGGTGCCACAAATTCAAGGCCAGTCTGGACCAGAATGAGACCCTGTTTAAAAACAAATAAACAAATTGCTTCCTCTTGGCTCCCTGACCACTAGATTCTTTTTCTCAATCATTTCTTTTTCAAGTGAGGTTATTTTCTAATAAATTATAATGAATGATAGAGGAAAGAAACGTATGACATAAATCCTCTACCTGTAAACCTCCAGTACTTGGGAGGGCCCAGAGAAGAAACGTTCCCACTAGCAGGAAACACCACAGGGACAGAACTCCACACAAACCATAAGCAAACCAAGGCTCGCCCACCTGCCTTCTCCCTCACGCTGTCTACCAAGCTCCTACCTCAAGGCTAAGTCCTTCCTTTGCCAAAAGGCAGCCCCCAAAAGGGTCCACTTTCAGGTTAAACAGTAAGGTCTCCAGACAACACTTTTCCCCTCTTGACACATGTTCTGACCTACTTTTAATTTCATGTTAAAAGGGCATTAAGCGGGGAAGAAAAGACAGACAGTAGTGCTTTATTATCCCCCTCTGGACAGCAGCCCTCTTAGAGGCTCTGATGCATGACAGTGTGACTGTTGGGAAGGAGATGGAGGCGCAGGGCAGTAAGCAAGGCCCTCAAGCCATAAATTCCATAAGGGATCTCCTCAGGAAAGGAAGAGTGTCCCCTAAACCAACCAAGCCGTTTGTCACCTTGATACATAATATATCAGATACTAAATGCCAGGGTCTAGTCCCCACGGGTAACCAAATCAAAAGTCTGGAAAGACAGGTCTGGTACACGCCTGTAATCCCAGCACTTGAGAGGTAAAAGCAGGATAACCAAGAGTTCGAGGTTATCCTAAAGCTACATGGTAAGTTTGGGGCTAACCTTGGCAACCTGAAACTTTATCTCAAAACAAACCAACAACAACAAAGCCACACCCCCCCCAGAACGCACAGTATACCAGGATGCACAGTATGCCAGGACGCACTTTCTACAGTAGTGCTTGCTTCCGTCTGTTGAACTGAGGCACACAGATATAAAAGGCCTATTCCAGGCTGGGAACACTCGCTATCCCAAGGCAGAAATCAAAGTCAATAAACATGTTATCAAGTGCTGTTAGAAGCATAAGCCATTGGGTACCCCACGCCACTCAGTTACAACAATGATGAACTACAAAGAATGTAGAAGCTCAAAATCAGGCCAAACCCTTATCTGGACTAAGCTGCCAACAGATATCTGAATTTACTCAGCGGAAAATGAACTTTCCTCAGCGGGCTGCAAACAGGATCACAACCGTGTGGAAACAGAAGGGAAGCACGGTGCTCCTGCCCTCAGCATAAATAGCTGCATGAGACAAGGGTCTCCAAATAAGGGGTGCGCCCTGATCCAGAGAAGGGAAGCAGTGTGAACAGCTGCTCCTCCCCTGGCGGTGCCGACTCCTTAGCTCAGAAAAAAAATGAGAAACCCGACTGCTAAGTGGAAGCTCAGACTTCTGGGGCCCAGACCTGATGCCAAGAAGCACTACTCTCAGGAACCTAGTGAGCACTAAAACACACAGTCCACACCACAGTAGTATGCCCAACTCTTCTATCCATGCCTTCATGCTGGCCACACCCAGACAAGCAGTCTGGGGCAGGAGACCTGCATTTCTAGTGTCCAAAATGGGATTCCTCGATGAAGGCGTCTGGTAGGCCTCACACACACACTTTGTATTTGCTACAATTACCCAGCCCCCCCCCCCACACACACACACGTGCGTTCTGGCCCCCCAGGGAACTACAATCCAAGAACAAGCGAGCCTGGCTGGCTACCGACAAGGCCAAAAGTAAAGCACCTGCACCAGCAACTTAGAAGCAGCACCAGAGGACTACTGACTACCAGAGGACTACCGACGGCAGTCTTGGTTTTATCCTCTGCACTGGGGACCTAACAGCAGGACAATGGAGCCAGTGTCAAGCTGGGTATCTGAATGAAGAAACCAGCTGTACACTGCCCTCACCACCATTATCTCAAGAGGCAAAGTCCACCAACTGTCTAGTTTCCTCAGTAGCTCCTTCCTCTCTGCCCACAAGCATGAAGAAAGAGGAACACCAGCAACAGAGGCAGTAACGACCTGCTGTTACAACGTCTGGCTTTGGCTGCCACAACCTGGAGCCCTGACTCAGCGGAAACCAGGCTCCTGGGACCTACATGCCAGTCTAAATGAATTCCAGGACACAGAACTTCAGAAAACAGCCCCATGTGCCAAGACCTCTCATGTATAAAAGCAATAAATTCTGGTTTCTTTTGTGACACAAGCTCTCACAATATAGCCCTGGATTTCTGGCTGACCTGGAAATCCCTATGTAAACCAGTCGCCTTCAACAATCAGGGATCTGCCTGCCTCTGCATCCCAAGAGCTGAGATTATAGGTGTATACCACCACATCCAGATAATACACACACAAAATAACTATCAGGACACAGAAATTGGGAGAAACTAAGTTGAACCCTTCAGTAAAGTTAAAAGAACCACACACAGACACTGAAAAAAGATTTCTGTCTAGAAAGGTTTTGCCAATTAGGTGGCCTCTGCAGCCAGCATACAGCTTCAACCTCCCAGAACATGAAACAAGGAATACCTTTCTCAAAAAACTTTTAAAAAGAGTTTTATGTGTACAGTGTTATGTCTGTGTGTCTGTCTGTCTGTGCACATGTGTGCCTGGTGACTATGGAGGTCAGAAAGCAGCAATGGACCCCTGGGAAATGAAGTTAGAGACAGTCCTGAGCTACCATCTGGGTGCTGGGAATCAAACTTGTGTCCTCTGGAAGAACAATCGACACTCTTAACCGCAGAGCCAGCTCGTCAATCCCCGAATTTCCTTCTAAACCTGTTTTTTCAATCCTACTTACAGAAGAATCTAGAGCAGTTTTCTCCAAAGAATGGATTGGGGATAACCTATAACAGAAGCGCCTGGGACAGAAACCTGATTCCCAGCTAGCTGGGTAAAAGAAAAAAAGTTTGTCTGCTGGGTCTACAGTCGGGCCCAGGAATCTGTATTTTTAACCACCTCCCCTCGAAATTCTCATTTGGCCGCTGTTCTGTAAGAACCACTTTCCCCCTAAGCTAGAATCATACTTCTTACGATCACCCGGGGAGGGGAAGGGGGGGGGGGTCGCTGGAATATTCAAATCTCACATAGGTTGACCTCATGGGCAGGATGGCCTTCAATATACCGACACCTGTCGAGTGGCTTTTACTTTTAAGCATACAAATTGCAAAGGAAGGTAGGCGAGGGTGCCACAGTCAAACTTTCCCGGGACTATCCCCTTCGAAGATTCTCTGCTGTTCTAAGAATCAAGCCCCACTCCCGGAGAAAGGGCACACGGGAAGCGGGTGTTCTGTGGGTGGGCAAGGCAATCTATAGGGAGTCGTCGCCACAGCAGAGCAGTGGAGTCGATGACCTACAACCTGGAAGGCCTCCAGGCGCCAGGCGAAAAGGCCACCCTTGTCTTTACATTCCCAGCTTGGGTGGGAATGAGGGGCTGAGAAAACCGCAGGATGAGAAAGATCTAAATATAACTTCTCGCCAACTCTATGCCTCGATGGCTCTTGGTCGCTTCGAGCCAGGGCTAGGCCCCGGGCTCTGGCCGGTTCCCTGGGGGGGGGGGGGTACTGCAGAGAGAAACTTCGCTCTAAGGATGTGGTCTCGCGGTCGAGAGGAAGGGGCTCGAGGCCCGCAGCTGCGCCCTGCTCACAGGCCGCACGGATCCCGAGGCTCGGCCGAGGGGCTCTCACCTCGGCCCACCCGGCCTTCCAGAGGGTCCTTGCGGAAGTGGATCCCGTGCACGTCCACATGCGCCTCGCCGCCCGCGTTGACTGCCCAAATGACGCTCTCTGGCAGTCCGGCCCCGGCGGCGCCGACCACGCCGAGCCCCGGATCCCGGAGCTCCGGTAACAGCAGCAGCAGCAGCAGCAGCCGGAGAAGGGCCACAGCGGCTCGCTCAGCTGCCCGGGGCCTCAGCATGGCGGCCAGCACTGCGGGGGCAGCCCCTGCCGACCCTCGTCCTCGGCCGGCTGCCAGGCCGCCCCCGACTCAGTAAAACAGCGCCACGGACCGTTCTGCCTCAGCAACCCGGGACATGTCGCTCTCGGGCCTCCTTCTCAAGCCTCGGGTGCCGCCTCCCACCTCGGGAACAACCTACCCCGCCGCCCAGCCCTCAGCTTGGACGCTTCAGCCAATCAGAGCGTAGCACTCATTAATTACCCACCACCCCGCCGAGAGCGGCAAGGCTATTGGCCGGGGTGCTCAGAAAGGGGCGTGGCCACACCCAGGCTCCGGCCCAACCACCGGGCACGAGAGGGAGCGCGCGCAGAGGGAGGGAGTTCGGTTGAAGCGGCGGTTCCATGCGGAAGTGGCGGGTGCAGCGCCCAGGCCGCCCCGGAATCCTACATCAGAATAGGAAAGGTGGCCTGGGCGGGGAAGGTTTAGAGAAGGGCGCACTGACACGTCGCCAACACTTCCGGTGCTCTAGATCTCGGGACCGAGTCAGTTCAGAAGGGGGCGGTGCCGTCTTTTCCATCCTCCTCCCCCACCTCCTTTTTATCCTCCGAAAGCAAGAGCACAGGCTCTAGCGGGAGAAGCAGTGGTTTGTCCCCGCGTGGGGCACAGGAGCCAGTCTCTCCCTGAGATGCCATCTGTACAGGTGGCAGCGCGCGAGTCCCACGAGGATAAGGTCCCGCCCTCACCCCTGAGCGGGCGCGTGGTGTGTGGTAGCGTCCGGGAGGCCGTCCAATCAGAATGCTCCAACGCAGCGGAAACGCGTGGCCGTTAGGGGAGGGGGCGCCAGGATGCCTGCGTCTCCATGGCGACGGTCTCTGGCGGGCCTGGGGACCTGAGTGCAGCTAGGGCTTCCTCCTCCTCCCCCCGGTGACCACCGGTGACCTGGACTACCTGGCGCTGGCGCGACCCGAGCTCCGCCGGTGACAGCGCTCTTCTACATCAGCGTCCGTGCCCTTGGGTATATCTGCCTAGACTCCCATTTTTCTGACACAGCCAAGCGGGGAGGGGGGAAGTGAAATCATTTGTTCCATAAGTACTTATCCTGTCCATACAGATTACGCCGACAAAACATAGGAAGCCCGGTTAAATTTGATTTTTTTTTCTTGAGGTTAAGAAAAATAAATAAAACAACACTGGGTACTGTGACACCAAGTGACACGTTCCTGTATTCTCAGGACTTGGTATTCATGAGGTTGAAGAAGGAGGATTACCAGGAGTTTTAAAGGCCAGCTTGACCTCTAAGAGCGCGATCCTGTCTCAGAAATAAACAGGAGGCTGGAGAGATGGCTCCGGGATTCAGAGCGCTGGCTGCTCTGGCGGAGAACGTGGGCATTGCTCCCAGCCCTCACATGGCTGCTAAGGATGGGTTCAAAGGATGGGGTCTCGGTCCTCTGACCTTCGCTGTGTATCCGGGACGCATAGACATACATGCATTAAAGCCCCTGCTTGGAATTGCCAAAGCCCAGGTCAAAGTTTTCTTTAAGTCCGCAGCACTCTCTCAGGACAGATGTCTTCAGAGAGTGACAGGAGCTACGGTTTGGGGCTGAGCCCGAGGTGGGCTCAGTTCCTTTTTTGGTGGCTTCCCAGTTCCATTACCCTTTAGAGCTTTGAGCTTTTGTTGACCCAAAACGGGAATGACACCATCCACTCAGAAAATTCTCCTCCTAGCCCCGCACCTCTCTCCTTTGGGAAACTGGGGTTGACCTGAATACTGTGTATGTGCGTGTGTGTGTGTGTGTGTGTGTGTGTGTGTGTGTGTGCCAGGCAACTATTCCTTCTACCCCTGAGGTGCATCCCCAGGATTCAATTAGTTTCTTTGAGTCTGTCTCTTGCTAAGCTGTCTAGCCTGGCCTCAAACTCATGATCCTCCTGCCTCAGCCTTCCAAGTCGCTAAAATAACAGGCCTGTGCTACCTTGCCCAGCTAAAACAAATATGCTTCTCATGGAAAAAAAAATACAGGCAAACCCGGAAGGGAACTTGAAAAAGGATCATACACCCATCCAAAGACAAGATTAGGACTGTAGCCGAGACGGGCCTGACCACAGGTTCTCAACAGCCATCCGTTCCCACACATTTGAATCTCACAGCCACCTCAGGAAGCCGAAAAACAGGAACTGTCCCCCGTTTTATGGATGAGAAACTTAAAAAGCTGAAGAAGGTTAAGTAATTTGTGTAAAACCACACAACAACCTTCAGCTTCTAACCCACTTACACAGCAGTGAGGCTGGCTACCTATGAGACCATATTTGATGCAAATGAACAGCCCTACCAGTAGTCACTTATGTTACCTGGGTAAGGGAATTCACTGCTCTGTGCCTCAGTTTCCCCCTCTCTGAAACAGAATAATCGTACATTTGTCCTAAGACTGTGAGACATAAAAGAGATATATTTTAAGGGAAGATAATTTTTTAAAAAAGCTTTTCGAAAAGTCATTTATTTGTAAGCAGGGGGTCTGGGGGAGGCACATAGGTACACGCCACAGCTTGGGGTGTGGAGGTCAGAGAACATTCAGGAGCCAGTGAATTTCATCATCAGCTTGGGTCGTCAGGCTTGGCAGCAAGTGCCTGCACAGCCTAAGCTGTCTCACTGCCTCTTCTTTTTTATTTTTAGATGAAGCCAGGCCAGCCTCAGACTCAGGAGGTAGCTGTCTATAGCTGTGGACAGCAGCCAGTCCCTGTATCTGCTGGGCTACCTTGCCAACCCGAGAGCATTGTGTGACCGTGAAGCACATGGCTGTGTCAATAAGTCTGAAGTGTTTTGGGGGGCACAGAGACATGGGTTCAAAGCCTGCTTCTACTTTTTAGAGCTATGTGGAACTTGGGGAGTCCTTTCTCCCCCTCGGAACCCCAGCTTCCCCATCCGATAGTTGTAATTAGAATATCCACATGTAGGACTTTCAGAAACCCTTAGCAGAGGGCCTGGCTCATAGATAGTGTTTAGTACACAGTAGCTATTAATCATACAAGAAGAAATAATTATAACATGTCATGCTGGCAATCTAATAGTAGAAAAGGCCCTGGTGAACACCCCAGGCTAACGAGTTGGGAAAAACCCTTCTACCCTAGAGAAGGAAAAGCTAACAGGAACCAGAGTTCAAAAGTGGAAAACCAGAGCAGCTGCTCGAGAGTCCCCAGAGGCAACTTCACCTTGACCCACAAACCCGAAAAGAGGCGTGTCTTCCGGTAGAGATAAGAATCCTAAGAACAAAGCGTGCTATTAATTAAGCGCAGTCTATTTTAAGTTAGTGGGATAATTTCCCCCTGAAGGATAAGCTCACAATAAAAGCTCAAGAGGGGAAAACACAGAAGGTGGGCGGGGGCCACTTTGCCTCCTGCTCGGAGTCCTCTGAAGCAGAGGTGGGTGGTCTGCTCCCCAGAGCCAAGTTTCTTCACCTCGGTTTTCTTGAAGCCACATCGAAGAGGGATCAGAGCCACCCAGAGAGGCAGAGAACATGCCCATGGCACCTCAGCCTTCAGTCAGTGGGGGGTGGGGGTGGGGACAACACACTAATAAAGGAGGCTGGGCTGGCTGGCCTCTGCTTCCCTGCAGATGGTGTAACTCACAGAAGCTGATAGGTCAGCGGGACTAGGGATGAGGACAGAAAAGGTTACCGTCAGCCTGGCCTTGGGCTTCCCCACTCAGCTTTCTGCAGTTGAGAGTAACTTTGAACTCCTGCCTTCACTTCTGGAGTACTGGAATTGCAAACACACTCTACCACGCTGGGTTTCCAGAGTGCTGGGGATGCAACCCAGCGCTTTGAGAATGCTAATCAAGCACCTTGACCAACCGAGCTGGGTCTGTATACTCGGCACAGAGGTCAGTCTGCTTTGCTTTGCTTTGTATTTGGGGGCAGGGTCTTGCCTGCGGCCCAGGCTGGCCTGGAACCTATGATCTAATGCACAGCCTCCTACAGGCCGAGATCACAGGAGTTTGCTGTCACCAGTCCCTTCTGTCGAGTGCCACAGGACACTCCCTTAAAGCTGTGCTGTGGGCTTCAGTCCTTCTAAGGGAATAGGGAGATTTTTAAGTCTTAAGTCTATCTCAAAGAAAATCACAGGCAGAGGGAACTGAATGTGTAAAGGATTTGAGCCACACTCTCTAAGCACCATGCATGGGCTGTTGTTCTTCCTTTCTTCTTTTTTCTTTTTCTTTTACTTTTTTTTTTTTTTTTGAGACAGGATCTCACTATACAGCCCTGGCTGGCCTGGAACTCACAGAGATCTGCCTGCTTCTGCCTCCCTTACTGGCCCTTCCTTCTCTCCTTCCTTCTTTCCTTCCTTCCTTTCTTCCCTCTCTCCCTCCCTCCTTCCTTCCTTCTCTCCCTGCGCGTAAGTGTAGGTATGCATGTCTGGTGCCTTCAGAAGTCGGAAGAGGGTGTTGGATCCCCTGCAACTGGGGTTACAGACAGTTGTGAATCCTTATGTGGGTGCTGGATAATCAGCCCAGGTCCTGTATAAGAGCAGTAAGTGCTCTTAGCTGTGGAGTCATCTGTCCAGGCCCTAAAGGAGCTAGTTCCTTGTGACCACCCACCCACAAGCTGGGTATGGCTAATAGTCAAGAATGAGGCTAAAGGAAGGCATATTACTTCCCCTGGCATAGTTGTGACCAAAATGACATACGTAGTAACTCCAAGGAGAAAAGGTTTAGGCTGACTCGTGCTTTCAGGGGGTTAGCCATGGTTGCTTAGCCCCACAAATTTTGGGAAACCATCATAGTTTAGGAAACATGGTGTTGACAAGCATCCTCACCATGTGGCAGAAGCAGGAGGCAGGGAAAGAGAATACAGAACCGGGCTATGTCCCCACACTGAACTACTTCCTGTGGCCCTGCCCTCCCCCACCCCATTCACAACACTTCCAGAAGAAGCACCCAGGACCTGTGGGGAGCATTTTCTATTCCATCCCAAACTCAGAACTCGGTCCTCATTCTACAAATGATAGTGGGCTGAAGGCAGGAGCAGGTGACAGACACCTCCGCAAGGAGTGAGGGGACAGTGTAGGTCCGTAATCTGAGCCTGCCAGGCACGAGAAGACCAGGGGCACCCTGTAGGACCCTGAGGCACAGGGAACTACTTCCAGATAATTTGAGCCAGAGCCC